TGTGCAAAAGATTTTGATTTAAATATTTATTTTCCCATGTGGCTTTTTCCACATTAAGACTATCTGTATGGTATTTGCTATTTCAAAATTATCAAGGAAAAGTAAAAATAATTGAAAAACAAGACTTAAGAGCCAAGTTATGACCTCACATATGACCTAACTTGCTAAAGAATGGTAATTCAGTGAAGTTTTTGTCAGGCCCACAAGAAAAGTTTATGAATGATATTTCAGACATAGTTTTAAAATCCTCACAAATTCTATTCCTAGTAAATAAAATCAAATATTTTCAATCCTAAAGAATCAGGAAGAATACCTTTAATTAGTCTTGTTTCAAATAATTCCATGTATATTTTGCTAAGGACAAGTGAGAGACGATTTCCCATTTCCATGCCAAACTTCTGAGTATAAACTTGTCTTTAAACACAGCCTTTGCATCAACAATGAAAAAGTTTAATAAGTAATGATCAATGAAAAATCAAAAGTTTTCGGATAGGAAACTTAATAAGTTCTAAACCGGTACTTTTGTGAACAACAATGTGACATCAAAACTAACCATACTGTAAATTTAAGTCAGGTTATGGTGTTTAGTTTTCAGTTAAATCAATAACATTCCTCACCTAAAGTTAGAAACTTCACCTACAGTGGGTCAGTCATCTGGATAATTTGTAGGTGACTGAGCCAATGAAGCTAATTATTGATTTTAGCTGGATTACCAGTTTATCCTTTAATTAATCAGTACATATATGGTAAAGATGGATTAGTGGTAATAAATTATTTTAATTAGTTCATATTTGCCTCTTGGTAGTCATTTGTCGTCTTGTTAAATTACTAATAACTGACTCGAAGGAATTCTGAGTATTCAGTAATTATTTGTATCGTTCAGTAGTTTAAATTCACCTTATATAATATTTCATTTTTAATTCTGCATTTATTTTTCCCACTTCAGTAATATTTAAATTTTCAAACTATATTTAAGATTTTCATATGAATTTAGGAATATTTTTTGTAATCATGGAACTATAACCTTTCTCTTAATTATATTGATATCATCAGTGGATAAATCAGTAGATTTTTTATACTCAAAAGTTTGGTAGGCAATGGGAAATCCTCTCTCTTCTCCCCTAGCAAATTTGTACATGAATTTTTTCGAACGTGACTGATTACAAGAATTCTTGATAAAACTAAATGGGTTCAGATATGTCGAGACAATCTGTGTTTAGTGCCAAAGAATAGAACATAAACCAATTCCTAATTGAATTAAATAGTCTAGCGCCCTTACAGTTTACTTTGAGTTGAACAGAATAATTCATTGCCCTTCTAAGATGTTTTAATTTTTAAAGGGGAAACCAAGAATTTAAATTCAACATATACAGAAAACCAACAAATACTTGCTCCTATGTTTACTAGTATTAGTATTTACATCATTACAGTTAAAAAATTTTGTTTTCTCCTCCATGTTCCTGAGAACTTATAGAGAGGAAATATTGAAGATTTATAAAATTTAGCAGTGATATTAAATACATAAAAAATAATTGACAAATCTTTTTAAATTGGAAGAAGAACATTTTACAGTTATAAAGAGACAAAGAAATATTTTACAATTGACAAGGGGGACAAAGAACAGAATCTTCCAGAGATGGGACACAGAAACAAGGGTTTACAATTGGAAGTTGAAGACTCAGTTGAGATTAAAGGGATGTTGGGAAGAAATTTTCCTCAGTCAAAGAGTTGTCACGAAGTGGGATAGTCGGGGAAAGTGATGTAGTCGAGGCAGGATCCATACATAATTTTAAGACGAGGTTTGATAAAGCTCATGGGGAAGGAAGAAGAGGAGACCTAGTAGCTTCGAGTGAAGAGACTCGACCCCTGCAACCACCCACCGACCCACACACACGTATAATTATATAAATATATATATATATAATATATATATTTTATATATATATATATATATATATATATATATATATATATATAATGTATATAGTTGAGAAGTCATTTAAATTTATTTACTCTATCAACAGTATGAAAATGAGGTTGGTGAGATGTAATCAGCATAATGTTTCAGGTGTTTTTCAACTTTGCGTGAGTCCAGTCTTTGAGAGACTGTATTAGTTTATATATATATATATATATATATAAAATTTTATAATATATTTTATATATATATATATATATATATATATGTCGTGCCGAATAGGCAGAACTTGCCATCTTGGCTTAAATAGCAACCTCATCTTGCCATATAGGACAACGAAAATTTGTTTTATGCAATAATTTCGCCAAAATCAATTCTGAACCTAACGAAAAAAATATTTCACTGTGTTTTGTTTGTATTAAATTATCGTAAACAAATCTAAAATACATTTAAATTAGGTTAGAATAAAAAAAATTGCTCTTGTTATAATAAGGTTAGGAAGTTTTCTAAGATTCTTTTGATGCAAAATTAAATATATATATATATATATATATAATATATATATATATATAATATTATATATATATATAATATATATATATTGCTCTTTATTTCTTGAAATTGTTTTGGGGTAATGGAGTTCTTGAAAAGCATGGTAAGTGTTGATGAGTAAGACACAAGGGCAACAGATAATATCTTTATTGTTTGAGTGGTTTCGCTTAAGACAGTGGTTCCCAAACTGGGGGTAAATTACCCCCTGGGGGTAATTTAACCATTTTTTGGGGGGTAATGGAGGGTGACGAAAAAAAAGTTATGAATTCCGAAAATCAAGAAAACAATGCGGTACCCGGTAATGAGATTTTTGTTAACTTTGTCTTAGTATATAAAGTTTTAAAGTAAACCTATTATAAGTAATAATAAAGTTAAACCAATAACAAAAACACAAAAACTAATATACAGTATTAGAAAAGAAGAAATATATAGCTAAGTGTGTGGAAACCCAAAAGTATTTTGACAAGTATGCTTCAGGACAAAAGTCACTCAGTAGCCCAATCGACCTGTCCAGTACGCATCCCCTCACTTCCTGAGGCTGCCTCTATTTCACACTGTCAGTTTATCTGTGAGCATCAGCCGAGGTAGACATAAGCTGGTATGTATGTGTACTAACCCTGTGCAGTATATAGTTAGTATTTACCCACTGTTTTCTGTGAATTTGTAGCTATTATTAATTTTATATATATGTATGGGGTTCTTAACGTTTTTCAATGGTTTTGTTAGGATTAGCAGAGTATGCGAGGCTGTATACGTTCAGTTTAGGCCATATATATCAATAATAACAGCATTTTGTGAAGGGGTAACATGCTTATGTGGCATGTTAAATTGGGTAACAAGCTGAAAAAGTTTGGGAACCACGCTAAAGGTAGGACTCTTCAGTCAAATACCAAGGGAATTACTGCAGGGAACAGCAGTAGTAGCGAGGTAAAAATGATGTAACCAGTCCCCTCAACTTCGGACAAATATTTTGAAGGTTTTCAGTCCCCCAGCCTGGTGAAGAGTTCGCATCCTTAGTCATCTTTACCTCGCCACTACTAAGACTACCTACAATACGTTCTCCTCTTATTTGACTGATGAAGCCTACCACGTAGGCGAAGCGATTCAACAGTAAAGTTACCCAACTAACAGACATGTGTCTCACACATCAACTGTCAGTATTGTATACCATTTCATCATAGAGTTCTATAGAAATTATTTCAATTTTTTATTGTGTTTGACAGGTATGTTTCTTATAATGGATCTAAGAATGTTTTGGCTAACCAAAGTTATTTTAGTCTCTTGGTTGCCACTTGGTTGGTTTCTATCGGACACTGTTTACTACAGAAGCCATGGATTTTTTTTTTTTAAGAAAAACTTGGACACATTGGTTAATACATTATCATATTAAATTCTCCTCGCCAATCAGTAAGTACTTATTGACATGATAAAATTATTATTATTATATTATTATTATTATTATATATTGTATATTTGATTGATCGAATCCTACTTTCAATAGATATGGGAAAAAGTGTTAAATAAAATTTTTAAAAAACCACACCTTTCTGTGGCGCACGGAAGTATAAGTTCCTTCAGGTGGATCTTACATACTGTTCTGTGGTGTTATTAAGGCTTTAAAACTTGCACACTGTTCTGTGGTGCTACAGAAGTAAAAAGTTCCCTCAGGTGAGTCTTCAACTGTTCTGTGGCGCTACGGAAGTATAAGGTCCTTCACTGGAGCTTACCCCCTGTTGCTAAAAAAAATATTCTCAAGGCTTTTATAACATCCAATATGAATACTATATAATTAAGTATGAATATTAATATATTTGGTCATCTTGCCTTTCCCCAAGCCCCTTCTTGACATAAGGAAGAAAGAACGGCGAGGGCAAAGATTGGGATAGTATAGAGCAAACGAGGAAGAGGTAGATAGATGAAAATTTCTCTCTCCACTTTAGAAAAGTGTGAAGTGTCCTAACCTCTTGATTACGGTTTTACTGAAGTATTTCCACCACTTAGTAATATATATATATATATAATATAATATATATATTTTATAATAATAATATAAAAATATTTTAATATATATATATATATATATATGCAAACAACTACTGTGAAAGAAAATAGAAATTCCAAGCGCTTTCGTGACTACTCACATTATCATTGTTCCTTGATAATGTGAGTAGTCACGAAAGCGCTTGGAATTTCTATATTCTGGTTGTTTTGCATATTCTGAAAACACCTGGGTTTACTGTGATCTTATTGCATATATATATATATATATATATATTATAATATATATATAATATAATAATATATATTAATATATATATTTTATATATATAATTTACGTAATACTTTAGCATATTGTGTACTATTTTATGTTCAATACATATTTTTCCAATAATATTTTGCCTTTCACCTAATTCATCAGATGAATATTGGTATAAGAGATGAGTACCAGTAGTGTACAGTGTGTTAGAGAATGTACAGAGGTACAGTGTACACAGTTAATCAATATACTTAACACCGTTTTACCTGGCAGGTTTCCTGGGTATGAGAGGCAAGAAAGCGCCCTCTGGCTTCCTGGGCATGAGAGGCAAGAAACTGTACGATGATGACAGTGAAATGGATGCCTACATCCAGGTTAGTGTATGATAAACCTTAGTACCGTGTTATCTTATATCCCGGTTAGTGTGTGATAACCCTCTTTACCGTGTTATATCCCGGTTAGTGTATGATAACCCTCCGTAATAGAGCCAAAAAGATGGGAGAATTCACTGGACCTCGTCTTCAATAACAATGATGATCTGATATGAAATATTACCATATCAAAACCAATATACTCGGATCACAACATAACAGAGGTTCAGACATGTACGCGCGGGGTCCCAGATCAACAAAATGTGATCAGTCACGAGGGCATCTTCACCAAATTCAACTTCAGTAAAAAAAACATAAGATGGGACCAAATCAACCAGATCCTAAATGATACAAACTGGGAAGATAACCTAAGCAACACGGACCCAAGCCTATGTCTAGAAGAAATTAACTCTGTGGCACTCGAGGTAAACTCAGGGCATATTGCTTTAGGGAAAAGGAAGAAAAGATGTAAAAAATAACAGAGTGGCTAACAGAGGCCAATATATCTGTAACACGAAGGGAGACACTGGTCAGAGAAATAACAAACATCGAACTTAAGCTGAAGGAATCTTACAGGAGTCAAGAAATGCTGGAAGAACTAAATGAAACTGAAGTCCAAAATATTTCTTTTCTTATGCCAAATCAAAGAACAAATCGAGAACAACGTCCAGTATTGGGCCCCTACTTAAACAAGATGGGTCCTACATACATGACAGCAAGGAAATGAGTGAGCTACTCAAGTACCAATATGACTCGGCTTTTAGTTAGCCACTAACCAGATTGAGAGTCGAAAAACTAAATGATTTTTTATGAGCGAGACACAGAACTTGGTAGACTCAACCCTGTCTGATATCCTGACGCCAAACGACTTCGAAAAGGCGATAAATGACATGCCCATGCACTCTGCCCCAGGCCCAGACTCGTGGAACTCCGTGTTCATCAAAAAACTGCAAGAAGCCCTTATCATGTGCTTTTAACATCCTATGGAGAAGGGGCCTGGAGACAGGGGTCGTCCCACAGATGCTAAAAACAACAGACATAGCCCCACTCCATAAAAAGGTATTAAAGCAATAGCAATTAACTACACACCGATAGTGCTAACATCCCATATCATAAAAATCTTTGAAAGGATTCTTATAAGCAAAATCGCCACCCATCTAGATACCATCAGTTACACAACCCAGGGCAACATGGCTTTAGAGTAGGTCGCTCCTGCCTATCCCAACTATTAGACCACTATGACAAGGTCCTGGATGTTCCAGAAGACAAAATGCAGATGTATACACAGACTTTGCAAAAGCCTTTCACAAGCGTGACCAAGGTATAGTAGTGCACAAAATGCGCGATGAAGGAATAACAGGAAAAGTTTGTTGATGGATCTATAATTTCCTAACAATCAGTGCACAGAGAGTAGTAGTAAACAGAGTAAAGTCTGAGGCGGCTACGGTGAAAAGCTCTGTTCCATAAGGCATAATACTCACTCCCATCCTATTCCTCATCCTCATATAAGAACATAAGAAAGAAGGAACACTGCAAAAGGCCTACTGACCCATGCGGAGCAGATCCATGTCCCCCCCCCCGATTAACCCAATGACCCACCCTCCCCGGATTAGCCAAGTGACCCACCCAGTCTGGTCACCTCCACTCAAGGAAGGAGCACGGCGCCAGACCCAGCAGCACAAGCTAGTCAGGTCTAACTCACACCCACTCATGTATTTATCTAACCTATTTTTAAAACTACACAACGTTTTAGCCTGAATAACTGTACTCTGGAGTTTGTTCGACTCATCCACAACTCTATTACCAAACCAGTGCTCTCCTATATCCTTCCTGAATCTGAATTTTTCCAACTTGAAACCATTGTTGCGAGTCCTGTCTTGGCTGGAAATTTTCAGCACGCTATTTACTTCCCCTATATTTATTCCTGTTTTCCATTTATAAACCTCGATCATATTCCCCCTAATTCTACGCCTTTCGAGAGAATGCAGATTCAGGGCCCTCAGTCTATCCTCATAGGGAAGATTTCTGATACATGGGATCAAACTTTGTTTATCCTCCCTCTGTAACGTTTTCCAGAGCATTTATATCCATTCTGTAATACGGTACCAGAACTGAGCAGCATAGTCTAAAAAGAGGCCTAACCAAGGAAAATATAGTTGAAGAACAACCTAAGGACTTCTATTATTTTACTTCTAGATATGAAAGCCAAGAATTCTGTTAGCTTTAATTGGTTTTAGATTACTGCTAACCAGAAAATCCTAAATCCTTTTCGCAAACCGTAATATTAAGATTTACATTATTTAGTTTATATGTGGCATGGTTATTACCTGTCCAACATTTAGAACTTTGCATTTATCTATATTAAACTGCATCTGCCACTTCTCCGACCACTGCATCAGTCTATTCAAATCTCCTGGAGTGCTTTTAGTGTCCTCATTAGAATGAAAGGACGGCTTATTTGGTGTCATCAGCAAATTTGCTTATGTCGTTATTTATTCCCTCATCTATGTCGTTTATGTAAAATTGTGAACAACACGGGGCCCCAAAACTGACCCCTGAGAAACACCGCTTGTGACGTGCCCCCATTTTGATTTCTCCCCATTTATGCAAACTCTCTGCTGCTATTTGTCAGCCATGCCTCTACCCAGGAAAAAATTTATCTCCTCTTTCACTGTGCCTTAAGTTTCCTCAATAGCCTCTGGTGTGGAACTCTATCGAAAGCCTTACTGAAGTCCATATACACAATATCATGTTCATTACCATGATCTACCTCCTCAAACATCTTAGTGAAAAAAGTTAGTAAATTCGTAAGACAGGAACGCCCTTTGTAAAACCGTGTGAGATTCATTAATCAATCTGTACCTATCAAGATGGCTACGAAGTGCTTCGGCAATTATTGATTCCATAAATTTTCCCACTATGGAGGAAAGGTTTATTGGTCTATAGTTCGAAGCCATGGACCTGTCACCTGCCTTGTAAATAGGTATTACGTTTGCCATTTTCCACTTATTAGGCACTATGCCAGTTTGTAGTGATATGTTAAAAATATTAGCCAAAGGTATGCTAAGTTCCTCTTTACATTCCTTTAACACCCTTGCAAACAGTTCATCAGGACCTGGGAATTTGTTAGGTTTGAGTTTCTCTCTTTGTCTGAGGACCATGTCACTAGTTAACACAATCGTGCATAGTTTATTATCGTCCTGTTCTACATAATCTATTATTTCAGGAATATCGCTAGTATTTTCCTGGTTGAAAACTGAGAGGAAGTAGGTATTGAAAATTTCACACATATCCTTATCACTGTCAGATCTGACCAGAGTTACTCTTAAGTGGTCCAATCTTGTCCCTAATCTTACTTCCGTTTACCTGAAAGAACCCTTTTGGGTTAGTCTTTGAATCCCTTGCAACCTTAGCCTCATAATCCCTTTTTGCTTTTCTTATTCCTTTCTTTATTTCTCTCTTTAACTGAATATGTTGATTTCTTAACTGCCCATCCCCTCTTTTGATACGCCTATATCTGCCTCTCTTTTGACCAATGAGATGTTTTAATCTATTGTTCATCCATTTAGGATCATTTTTGTTAGATCTAATTTCCCTACTCGGAACAAAAGTTGTCTGGGCAGCAAGAACTATGCTCTGAAAAAGTCATATTGGCAACCAAGATCACCTACCTGACCCATAGTCAGGACATCCCAATTTAGCCCACCCAGGTAATTTTTCAGTCCCATGAAGTCGGCCAAGCGAAAATCTGGGACAGAGATTTGATTGCAGTTATCTGGGTAATTCCATAATATATTGAAACTAAGTGATTTGTGATCACTTTCCCCAAGCTCATCATTAACCTCAAGATTATTAATAAGTGAATCTTTGTTGGCAAGAACCAAGTCAAGCAGATTGTTTCCTCTAGTTGGTTCTGTCACAACCTGTTCTAAAAAGCAATCCTGAACCGTATCAAGAAAGTCACTAGACTCAAGATTTCCTGTCATATTGTTCCAATCAATTTGTCTAAAGTTAAAATCTCCCATTAACACAACATTTTCATATCTAGATGCCTTATGAATTTCGCCCCATAACAGCTTACTGCACTCCCTATCAAGGTTTGGGGGCCTATAAATTACACCCACAATTAATTTGTCACGTCCCTCGAGAAACTGTAGCCAAACAGATTCTGTGTTCGATTTTTCTAATCTTATATCATGTCTAAGACAATTTAAATTTTCTCTGACATCGCCACACCACCACCCTTCCTGTTGACCCTATCAGTGTGGAATAGTTTATAACACTGTATGTTGCATTCAGAAGGTATTTCTCTATCTTACAGGTTGAACCAGGTCTCTGTTATACCAATAATATCTATATTACCTACACTTGCAAGTAATCTTAGCTCATCTATCTTATTTCTTTGACTCCTACTATTTGTATAGTATACCTTAAGGGACCTAGTCACTCGCTGCCCTCTACTATCTCTCTTTGCTGATCAATTGATTTGCCATTACTAGCAACTTTATTTTGAATATTGTCTTTTAAACATATCCCTGAGGTATCCCGGTAATAACTGCTGTTTTTAACCCTAATGCTGCAGCCTGATTGTTTCCCACAAACACCCATACCTCTATAATTTATCAGTTTAAATTCCTAGACAAGTCATCAATTACCCTCTCAATCAAAATGGCTAATGCAACCACTCCATCCCCAGAGAGATGAACCCTATCCCTTGCATACATATCACGTTTGCCAAAAAATAGGTCCCAGTTATCAATGAATAGGATTGCAAGTTCCTTGCAGTACCTGTCTAGCCAGCAATTTATACCAATTGCCCTAGACATCCATTCATTGCCCACTCCTTTTCTAGGCAAGATGCTACATATGTCTGGGATCCCTCCCTTAGACCTAACTACTTCTATGGCCGACCTCTACTTATCCAGCAGCTCCTTTCTCTTGCCCTTCCCAATGTCATTACCCCCAGCACTAAGACAGATAATGGGCTTGTTCCCATTACCTGC